CTTCTCCTTCTTCTCATCCTCCTCTTCCTCTTCCTCCTCTTCCTCATCTCTCTCTTTCCTCTTCCTCTTCTCCTCCTCCTCCTCTTCCCCCCTCCCTCCTCTTCCTCTCCTTCTCCTTCTTTCTCCTTCTCCTTCTTCTCCTTCTCCTCTCCTCCTCTTCTCCTCCTCCTTTCTCCTTCTCCTCCTCCTCTTCCCCTTCCTCCTTCTCCTTCTCCTTCCCACCTCCTTCCCCCTTCCCCCTTCTTCTTCTCCTCTCTTCTCTTTCCTCCTCCAGCTCCCCAGCTTGCTTCCATCAAGCAAATTCAATGGGGAACTCCAACTCACTTAAGGGATTGTGTGATTCCCTTAACAATTGCAGTGATTTGTTTAATGCCAGTAGTAAAAAAGAAGGTCATAAAATCAGATGGATCTCACTTCACCAACATCTGGTTTCGCGTGGGAATTCTGCTTCCATTGTGGTCATAAATCAAGGACCAGGTCTGGTACCTATGTAAATGTATGACTGTGATTTTCTCATCTGGTGTTGAAATGGCTAAATACAAGGACATCCTACAGTCTGCAGGAGTTCCTGCCATTATTTTATGGAAGAAAATTATATTAACCATAAATACTGCAGCGAGCCTTGATTGTTGAAATAATCCTTGATTTACGACCACAATTGACCCTAAAATTCCTGTTGCTGAGACAGTTGTTAAGTGAGTTTTGCCCCATTTTATGAACCTTTCTTGCCACAGTTGTTAAGTGAAACACTGTGGTTGCTAAATTAGTCACACGGTTGTTAATTGAATGGGTTTCTCTCTTGACTTTGCTTGTTAGAAGGTCGTAAAAGGAGATCACGTGACCCTGGGACCGTCATAAATATGAGTCAGTTACCAAGAGTCTCAGTTTTTATCATGTGACCACAAGGATGCTGCAGAGGTTGTAAATGTGAAAAAAATGGCCCTAGGTCCTTTTTTAACTTCAGACGGTCACTAAATGAATCATTGTAAGTCAAACACTACTACCTACCTGTTTTTTTTGTTTGGGGCCCTGCGTTCAGCTCCACGAGTTGAAGCCCACCCAATTTACAATTTCCTCCCCTGAAAACTCAGCTCTTCTCGGGATTAAAGAATTTAGCAACGCTCCAGAGAGACTGAGTTAAAAATGTCAATTTTAATTAAGCTTAGCAGAAACCCCCAGGGGGGAGCCTTTTTTTCCCTTTTTAATTAAAGCTTTTTCTGAACTTCGAGTCTGCTAGAAGACGGTATTTTAATGTACTCGAATTTTCATGAAGGGTGTACCAAAAGAGAATGTGATCGAGAAAGGGGGAACGGAGGGAGAAAAAAAAAAGGAATTACAGCAAGAAAAGGAAGAAAGAAAGAAAAAATGCAGAGAAGACCCAAAAGTGTTTTTTTGAAGAGGCAACTGAACTTTCTGGTTTTTCCTTTGAAGATGTTTCGCTTCTCAGCCAAGAAGCTTCTTCAGCTCTGACTGGATGGAGGGGATGGAAGGATTGATACTCCTTGCAGACATTTGCATCCTTTTTAGAGAGTCATTGAGGCTGCTTGGAGGCTTATCTGTGTCCTCAGGGTCACCCGAGTGGTGCAAATGATTGTGGAACAAAAGGACTATGCAATTCCAAGGAGGCTCCACACCCATTTGCACTACTCAGTCGATCCTGAGGACACAGAGAAACCTCCAAGTGGCCTCAATGACTCTCTAAAAGGATGCAAATGAACCAGCTTTGTCTGCAAGGAGTATCAATCTTCCATTCTCTACCATCCAGTCAGAGCCGAAGAAGCTTCTGGGATGAGAAGCGAAACATCTTCAATGAAAAAACAAAAACTCTGATTGCCTCTTGAAAAAGCACCTTTGGGACAAGCATGATTTGGATGACTAAGTATCTCCAAAGACTTTTAGCAATCAAGAGAAGAGCAACAAAGTTGATCAGAGGGCTGGAGGCTAAAAAACACGAAGAAAACAATTGCAGGAACCGGGTATGTCTAGTTTAATGAAAAGGAGGGCTAGGGGGTGATATGACAGCATCTGAGGGGTTGCCACAAGAAAGAGGAAAGGGTCAACTTATTTTCCAAAGCATCTAAAGGAGAAGAAGAAGCAACGGATGGAAACTAACCAAGGAGAGAAGCAACCTAGAACTAAGGAGAAACTTCCTAAATATGAACAATTAACCAGTGGAAACGACTTCCTTCCAGAACTTGTGGATGCTCCATCACTCAAGATTTTCAAGAAGAGATCGAACAATCATTTGTCTGAAATATTATAGGGTCTCCTGCTTGAGCAGGGGGTTGGACTAGAAGACCTCCGAGGTCCCTTCCAACTCTGTTATTTTGTTATTCTGAATAAAATAGAAAACAATCACTGGGTTTCATATCACTCGTGTCTCGTTCTTCCTCCTGTTTAATCCCTTCTTCTCCTGCCCCGAACGGCTCCAATGTAAAGAGGAAAAATTGCTTTTTTAAAAAAATCTGATCCTTATAACAAAGCCACCTCTCCCACCCCCCCAATTCCCCACCGCGATACCCCTTAAAGGAAGCAAAAGTTTTGCAGAAGTCCTGCTAACTAATTAGCTCATGTTGCATGCCAGATAAACTGGTCTTGGCACTGGGAGTTGAAATGCATACCATAAAGAGATTGGGGGGGGGTTAATCTGCTCGCTGCCAACTTGCCATCTGAGACCAAGAATGTTGCAAAAAAAAAAACAACCCAAAAAAATCGGAGAAGTCTGGAGGAATCTATCCAGACATTTCTTGCAGCATTTGGTGAAACATTGCCTCTCAGGAAAGTTCCATTATCCAAAGAAGATTTTAACATTGCCGAAATTCAGAAGCAAACCTCATCCAGAAGAAACAAAACAATACAGGGAATCCTCGACTTACGGCCATTTCTTCAAAGTTACAACGGTGTTGGATAAAGGGACCGTTCACACTTACAACCGTTGCAGCCATTCCTGTGGCCACGTGATCAGAATTCGGATGTTTGGCACAATTGACTTGTATTTACGATGCTCCTGGGGGTGGGATGGAGGGGAGGTCACGTGACCCCCCTTTTGACAAGCAATGTCAGTGGGGAAGCCAGATTCACTTAACAACTGCGTGACTAACTTAACAACCGAAATGATTCATTTAGCAACCCTGGCAAGAAAAGTCGTAAAACGTGGGAAAAGTTCACTTAATCATTGTCATGCTTAGCAAGAGAGATTTTGGGCTCAAATGTGGTTGAGAAAGGTGCCACATTTGCTCGTTTCTGATCTAGTCCAATCCTAATTTTAGGTCAAAATCCACACCCACATTTAAGCCTCCTGGAGTCACCAATGTGTAATGGGATGGCTATGTACAATTGTTTAATAAATACATGAAAAGTTTTGGAAAACTTAAGCCAGGGAATTGGGCACCGACTTCCAATTTTTGGAAAGAGTGCCAAAGGGCTTGGTTGGCTGATAACGTGGAACTCAATAGGTAGTCCACAAATTATGATTGGTTGTTTAGTGATCTTTCAAAGTTATAATAGAACCCCCCCAAAAGATACAAGATTTGAAGTTATGTTGTGGAGCCTTGGAATAGATTGGCAACCAGTCTCTCTCTCTCTCTTTCTTTCCTTCCTCTTCTTTTTCCTTCCTTCCTCTTTGTTTTCCTCCCTCCCTTCTCTCTCTCTCCCCCTTCCTTCCTTCCTTCCTTCCTTCCTTCCTTCCTTCCTTCCTTCCTTCCTTCCTTCCTCTTTGTTTTCCTTCCTTCCTCCCTTCTCTCTCTCCCCCCTTCCTTCCTTTCTTTCCTTCCTTCCTCTTTGTTTTCCTCCTCCCTCCCTCCCTTCTCTCTCTCCTTCCTTCCTTCCTTCCTTCCTTCCTTCCTTCCTTTCTTCCTTCCTCTTTGTTTTCCTCCCTCCCTCCCTTCTCTCTCTCTCCCCTTCCTTCCTTCCTTCCTTCCTTCCTTCCTTCCTTCCTTCCTTCCTTCCTTCCTTCCTCTGTTTTCCTCCCTCCCTCCCTCCCATCTCTCTCTCTCTCTCCTTCCTTCCTTCCTTCCTTCCTTCCTTCCTTCCTTCCTTCCTTCCTTCCTGTCTGTCTGTCTGCCTGCCTTTCACCATTCATCTTGAAACAAAACAATTCCAGGTGGTTTTAGAACTGTTTGCAGCATCCTGCCATCACTTGACCCTGATTTACGATGCGTTTTTTTTGCTGGAAATTGATGTTTACCCCATGAATCAGTGTGGAGTGTGGAAACCATGGATTTGCTTAACAACCAGGTTGATTCGCTTTATGACCACTGCAAAAAATGTCATGAAATCAGGTTGGCCTGTTTAACAAGCGGTACCACTTAGGACCCTAATTTTAGGCTCAATTACAGCCATAGGGCCTACGTATGTATCTGCCCTTCGTAAGCATTTGATGCCGTAAGACATTTTTGTCCCGGCTTGTCTTTCAGAAATTCTTTTGGTGTTTGTTTTTTTTCTCTCCGCAGGTCATCAAAGTTGGAGTGGAGACCACTTGTAAATGCCACGGGGTTTCCGGCTCGTGCACCGTACGGACGTGTTGGCGCCAGCTCTCCCCGTTCCACGAGATCGGCAAGCAGCTCAAGCAGAAATACGAGACGGCCCTCAAAGTGGTGAGCACCACCAACGAGGCCACGGGAGAAGGGGACATCTCCCCACCCAAGAAGTCCATCCTGGGACACGGTGACCAGATCCCCAGAACTACAGATTTGGTTTATCTCGACGATTCCCCGAGCTTTTGCTTAAACAGCCGGTTCTCCTCCGGGACGTCCGGCCGGAAATGTTACAAAGACAAGAACTGCGACAGCATCTGCTGCGGACGGGGACACAACATTCAAAGCCGTGTAGTCACTCGTCCGTGCCAATGTCAGGTCCGCTGGTGCTGTTACGTGGAGTGCAAGCAGTGTACGCAGAGAGAGGAGGTTTACACGTGCAAGGACTGAAGGAGTTGTGTCCGACGAGCCCCAATTTCGGGGACGGATCCTCCTTGCCCCTTTCTTCAAGACACAAACAAACAAACAAACAAATCCGGGGGACCTCCGGCGAGACGGCCGAGCGCGACCCTGACGTGATGGAAGCACTTTGAGGGGGTTCCGTGCCTTGCTGACCCTGCCTCTTTCTCAGCAAAGAGATTTTGGACGCCAGCATCAATGGAAGACCCCTTGCGATGTCCAAGATGATGGCTCGGAGACCAAGAAGGAATCTTCTCTCTTCTTGACCAGGATGTGAAGGCTGGATAGTCCACCTTTCATGTTTGTTCCCCTCCTGAGAATTCTCTTGGACCTGGATGGTTCCACTTCGTTTTGCGAGAGAACTCCTGAAGACCTTCAACTGCAGAAGATGTTCTAGGGAGAAGAAGGCCCTAGAACGAGTTTTTTTTTTTAAAAAAAAAGTAATTTATGGAGCTTCTGGGCACCAGAAAGCCCAAATCAGAAGCCACATCCCATTAAGCTGGTGAGGTCACTACACAAGGACAGATCCTCAACGTTCCTTCTGACAGCTTGTTGTAGCAGATGGTGGTTGGATTTTTTTGGTTTTTTTTTCCTTATTTCCCCCTTGTGTGCCCTCCACCTCTCTTTCTTTGCTCTCCTTTGCAATCCACTTGGTGAATTTGGGAAACCACTAGCGGCAAAAGGAGCCTGCGATCTTCTCAACCGGCATTTTGACTCCTTTGGTGATTTAATTAGGACTTGTTTTTTGTTTGTTCTGCCCTGATTTCTCTTCTTATGACTTCAGTTGGCACCCGAGGCCGCTTCGAAACCAGCGTGACGTCCTGGCTGGGAATGCCATTTGGCACTTGGCCTTCGGAAGACGGAGAAAATGCATCACCTTCGAGACGATGATCCGGCTTTCGATTTTGTTTTTTTCCCACGTCTGGATCACGGCGTCCAAGAATGCGTGTCTCCTGAGGATCGCATTTCACCCGCCTTCCTCCGTGCCGATGATATTCTCTGGGGCCAATTAAAAGCCTGTTTCTTAAAAAAAAAAAAAAAAGAAATTACTTAAACCACTAGAAAGCTGCACGCATTAGATGTAAAACAGCGAGCAGCTGATTCTTATTCCTATAGATTCAAGGGAAATATATATATATATATATATATATATATATATATATATATATATATATATATATGGAGAAATATCAAAATGGCAGACTGGATCACTAATACAGGTAGTTCTCGACTTACAACTGTTTAGTGCCATTCAAAGTTAACAACGGCACTGAAAAAAGTGACTTAGGACCGTTTTTCATACTTACGACCATTGTAGCATCCCCAGAGTCACTTGTTCAAAATTCAGACGATTGGCAAATGACTCATATTTATGACGGTTGCACTTTCCCGGGGTCACGTGATCCCCTTTTGTGACTTTTTGCCTAGCAAAGTCAATGGGGAAGCATGATTCGCTTAACGACCGCTTTACCAACAACTGCAGTGGTTCACTTAACAACAGTGGCAAGAAAGGTCCTAAAATGGGGCAAAACTCCCTTAACAACTGTCTCACTTAACCACATGAATTTTGGGCTCAATTGTAGTCGTACGTTGAGGATTACCTGTACAGATGTGATGGTCAACAGAGCATTCTTCTGTCGTGTGAACTGGGGAATATTACAAATATGCAACTTTTTATTTATTTATTTTGCTTCAAAATGGGATTTGGGTGAACAGCTGATAAATTCCTGGGTGAATCGTCCATGTGTGATGGACAGTGATTTTAAAACTGGTCCAAGAGTTGCATTTCTTTTTTTTTTTTGTCCTGGGGAATTGCAATTTGACCCGTTGGAGGAGCAGAGCAAAAATCTTAGAATAACAGAGTTTGAATGTTCATGCACATTCTCATCTGGGAAATCATCCCTCCTCTCAGGCCCAATTTTAGGGGTGTTTTAAACAAAATAATAATAATAGAAACGGTAACCGCTTCTATCAAAGCTGTCCTTCTTGGGAAATGGATGGATTTGGGGGAGATAGTAACCCAGGGAGATGATGAACGAGATGGTGGCTTGATTTCAAAATTGGTGTGATGGTCCCGAGATGATGTGGGCCGTTTTATGGATTAGAGGAGTGACCAAAACATGGAAGATAGCTCCTAGCTTTGGGACATTGCTTGTAACTGGTATGAAATATCTATGAACTGGTCTCAGGTCTGATAATTTGATAGACCAATCCTGAAGCTACGTGCCCAAAGAATCTCCTTGCCCAACGGACCACCTCGGTAGCTCCGTGCAACGGATTTGCAAAATCCAAACTAAGACTGTAAAAGACTCTTTTATTATTTCAAGGGTGGAATATGAATCTATCTAAGATATATTCCGATGCCTAGATAACTAAATATTGAACGTTTATTTATTAAGCTTTTCAGAAGTTTGTATGGTTTCCATGTGGTATTATGAAACTGGGCCTCTCGTTACGAGCATGCAAGCACTCGTTCCTTCCTCTTTTTTCTTTCTTTTTTTCTTTTTTTTTTGCACGCTGGTATTTGAACCCGGATTCCCAAAGGGGCTCTCTAATTTTTTCCAACACTGTAAGGCCTGACCTTTGAGCGAGCTGCAGCCTCATTTTTCTTCCTTTCCTTTTCCCCACCTCTTTCCCTCCCCCCCTTTTTGATCAATGTTATTTGGAAAGGGAGGGTTTCTGAGACTTGGTAGAATCTGTCTGGAAGTCTGTTTTTCATTTAGCTGAGCCCGGCGGTGGGTCCTGTTTTTGAGAAGCACAGTTGACGGTCCTGGTTGCTGTTGGAACGGCTCACCTCGAGGGGCTTTGGGGGTGGTTTGGGGGAGACATGGGGAAGGGGGAAAACTGGAGACGTGGAGTTGGTGGAGACCTTGGTGCAAGAGAATTTAGTGGTTCTCTTGAAGACGTTTCATGACCTCATTATGGTTAGCACCGATGATGTAGCCTAGTTGCATCATGAAATGTTTGCAAGAAAACCAAAAGCTCAGACAACAAGGACCCCACAGTCTTCCCCCCCTCCACCTCCTTCTGCTTCTCCTCCCACAAACACCTCTTCCCTTTGACACTGATGATGTTCCTTAGTTGGGTCATGAGATGTCTGCAAGAAAACCGCCAAGCTTAAGAGAGTACCAAGGACCCTACTGTCGTCTTCTTCTTCTTCTTCTTCTTCTTCTTCTTCTTCTTCTTCTTCTTCTTCTTCTTCTTCTTCTTCTTCTTCTTCTCCTTCTCCTTCTCCTTCTCCCTCTTCTTCCTCTTCCCCTTCCCCTTCCCCTTCCCCTTCCCCTTCCTCTCCTTCTCCTTCTCCTTCTCCTTCTCCTTCTCCTTCTCCTTCTCCTTCTCCTCCTCCTCCTCCTTCTTCTTCCTCCTCCTCCTTCTCCTTCCCATCTTAATCTCCTTCCTCCTGCTCCTCTTCACAAACACCACTCCCTTCTAGCACTGATGACATTCCTTAGTTGGGTCATGAAAGGTCTGCGAGAAAACCGCCAAGCTCAGGGAGCACTAATGACTCCACAGTCCTCTTCCTCCTCCTCCTCCTCCTCCTCACCCCTCTCCCTTCTAGTACGTTCCCTGATGACGTTCCCTAGTTGGGTCCTGAAACATCTGCAAGAAAAGCCACCAAGCTTAGAGAACATGAAGTTCTCTAAATTCTCCCAGTTCAATCCTGACCAACAAATATCCTTTTATGTTAGTAAATAGACCTTGTTTTGGGCCATATCCTTCATCTCTGGAGAAGAAAGGTAGAAAAGAAGTCCCAAATTCCTTTTTCCCCTTAGTGGGAGTATTCCTGGGCACTTGGCCAACCAGAAATATCCAAAAATGGAAAAATCCTTCTGTACACTCAGACCCTTCTGTCTGTTATTTAAAATTATTTAAAATTATGGAACAATGATGACTTCACTTGCCCACAGCTGCTTCTCAACATTGGGAAATCTTGCTACAGTTTATTATCTGCTTGAAAGTTGGAGAGTAATTTTTCATCTTGGTCACTATCTTAGATACCTGGTCTAAAGATATCTTGAGGAAGAATTTGCAATCTTGCAGGATCTTCAATGCTCATGGGGTTTTAGCATAGTTTGGAGATGACCTTGCTTGATTTTTGAAGGCCATGTCTGAAATACAGGTAGTCCTCGGTTTACATTCGTTTGGTGACTGTTCAAAGTTACGACGGCAATGAAATACGTGACTTATGGCCATTTTTCACAGTTATGACCTTTGCAGCCTGCCTGTGATCATGTGTTTAAAACACATGACGCTTGGCAATTGACTCACTCTTATGACCGCTGCTGTGTCCCAAGGTTAGATCACAAAAGGTGATCTACAAGCAAAGCCAGATTTGTTTAACAACCGGATTACTAATTTAGCAAATGCAGTGATTTCCTTACCGTAACAACTGTGGCAAGAGCAGTCACAAAATGGGGCAAAACTAAAAAAATGTCTCACTTAGCAACAGAAATTTTGGACTCAATTGTGGTCATAAATTGAAGACTACCTGTATCGGCCAAGGTTCACTGGAGAATGCTCCCATCTTACCCAGTTAAGGTATTGGTTTAATCTGTTTTGGTGCCATTAACCTTGCATTTAAGTTTGTCCTTCTAACACAATTGTAGTTTGGGATCCCCTTATGAACTTGTTCAAAGGGCAAACAGGCCAACATCTCACCTCAGTCATTATCAGAGTTAGTTTGAGGGGACTGGGTTACAGGGAGATGATGGCTTTCTGTAACTTTCTTTCCCTAAAACCATGTTTCTCAATCTTAGCAACTTTCAAGATGGTTGGACTTCAGTTCCCAGAATTCTAGAATCAGCATGCTGGCAGGGGAATTCTGGGAGTCGAAGTCCACACCCTTTAAAATGGCTAATCCTGAAGCAATTGTACCCCAAAACAAATGGGTCAAACAATTCATTTTAAAATAGATTTTTTTTTTTTTTACTTTCCCAGGCTTGGGGAGAAACAACCAACTGTTGAAATTCACACAACTTGCTAAACCTAGATCACTGAACACAGCTATTTCTGGTGTGAACTGTAACCAAGTTGGCCAGACAGGCTGAATTTGCACCAACAGCTAAACTAGCATGAAATTAACCACCATGTAAATATGTTCAGGTGCCAGTTGAGCATGTTGTGTGAACCAGGCTGGTGTCACGTTTTTAAAAAGTTCAACTCTGGATTGCCAAAATGAAGCTTACTCTACCCAGTATGTATAAGATTACAGGTAGTTCTCAACTTACAGCGTGACCTTTCAAAGTTATAATGTCCCGGGGTCATGAGATTTGAGGCATATATACATGCATATGTACATTCATACATACATACATACATACATACATACATACATATATACATACATACATATATTACAAACTATTCTAAAAATATGAGTTCCAGGTATACATACATATATATGTATATATAATATATATATAAGAAAGTCCCAAAATTGCTGGTCATAGATTTCAATCTTTTTTTTTTTTACAGGAGTCTATTGCATTACAGATAGTTCTCAACTTACAACAATTCATTTAGTGACCATTCAAAGTTACGACAGCAGAGAAAAAAAGTGACTTATGGCCATTTTTCACATTTATCACCGTTGCAGCATCCCTATGGTCAAGTGATCAAAATTCAAATGCTTGGCAACTGGCTCGTATTTATGACGGTTGCAGTCTCCCCGTGGGCCATGTGATTCCCTTTTACGACCTTCTGGCAAGCAAAGTCCATGGGGACGCCAGATTCATTTCACAACCGTGTGACTAACTTTACAACTGCAGTGACTCACTTAACAACGGTGGCAAGGCAGGTCATTAAAATGGGGGCAAAACTCCCTTAAGAACTTCCTCACTTAGCCACAATATTTGTGGTTGTACTTGTGATTGTAATTTGAGGACTACCTGTATCGGAAGATTGTTGGCTGCGATGTTGAGCTACAGAGTAATCGTAAAATATACTGTTTTTTATTTTTATTTTTTAAAAAAAGAATTGGGGCTGCAGAGAGTTATTTCTGATGCAACCCCCTTGCAATTGTGAGATGTGCTGGGTTTTAGTTG